CGCGCAGGCTCAGCGGCCATGGCTCACGGGCCCAGCCGCTCCGCGGCATGTGGGACCCTCCCGGACCGGGGCACAAACCCGTGTCCCCTGCATCGGCAGGCGGACTCTCAACCACTGTGCCACCAGGGAAGCCCCACAGCTTGTAATTTTACGTACAGACTATTCCAAGTTTCACAAGGCACACGACAGAAAACTAAGAAGGCATTTGCTCTGCTCTCTCCTGAGAAAGCTCAGCTACAGGCATCCAGAGGCTCCAGCCCTGCTGGGTGGGACGGAGGACCCCAAACGAGCAGGAAGACCCACTAGGAATAAAATCCCAGGCATACTAGGCGAGGCCCCCGAGAGATTACGCAAAGTTCTGCGCTTTCACTGACTCTGCGATACCCCTTCATCCCTCCTCCCCTCTTCAGCTCTGCATAGCTCACCAGAAAAGTCACCTGCGGATAGGAAACATAAATCATGTGTAAATATAGACCCGTGTTTAAATATCACTTATGCTTAAAGGGACCAGGCCAGAATTCTTTTCCACTAATTAGGAAGATTAAATTCTTCCCCTTCAAATGTCCAATGTACTTAATAAGAAAAGATCACTATTAATATAGCAAAGGGATTTTAGTTAAAATATCTCAGCCCAATTCTTTAAAGTATTTCCCAGGACCCACTAAAAATTGTTATGGCGCAGTGAATGAGGGAGCATGGCTTTCTCTTACAACCAAATTTCAAGATAATGGCCTAATGATACCCACTGGGGATATGAATGGTGTGATCTGGGCCACACTGATCACCCCTGACTGTTGTTTCCCCTTAAGGGCCATCTCTTTGGACAACCTTGAATTGGGAAGAATGGCTGTCAGGTGTCCCACAACAGGGGCCAGGCTAGAAGGGGCAGACTGAAGGCAGTTATTAAAATGAGATACATGCAGGAGATTGAATCACTTGCTTTTTAAAGTAAACCAAAGGAATAGAGCTTTGGCTATGAAGTTTTCGCCTGGTTATTCTTGTTGCTTCCCTCTGCCAACCCCGTGTGCCAACTTCTTGGTGGTCTTTGGATGACAGTGCTTTCTATCCCTGCATATCACACAGAATTACTCAGCAAGGAACAGACAGAAAACAGAAGATTACATGAGAGTCTGCACACTGACCAGGGGGCTGCCAAATCCCTTTCCCCTGCTTGGCAGCCAGAACCTGGTGGCATGCCTCAACCCCCACCTTGGAAACTGAACAGCTGAAAAGAAAAACGTCCAGGAGCTAACAGATGGGTGGTCTGCAGCTAATCATTCATTCATTCACTCATTCATTCATTCAAACACCTAACAGATATTTATGAAGTACCTACTATGTGCAAGCAGTCTTCTTGAGGCTGCAGATACAGCAGTAAATAAACAGACACAAATTCCTGGTCTCAAGGGGTTAGTGGTGAAGACAGATAGTAAATAAAGTAAATAAGCAAATTATACAACATATTAGGTGATAAATGCTATAGAGAAAAAACAAGGAAGAGGGATAGAGAATGCCAAGTGAAATTTTAAATAGGGTGATGTGTGAGGACTTGCTGAGAAGGTGACATTTGAACAAAGGCTCTATGGTGAAGCCCACCAGTTGACAAGCCCAATTCATGCACACACAAATCTTCCAACCAGGTTTTGGTGCCTCATTCTTAAATATTTACGCACAGCCAGATTGCAAATGTTCAATGCAGAACATTGGAAGATCTTCAAATTTAAGCAGAAACAGAACATTAGGAACGCAGAGATAATGCTGGAATCAGAAGACAGCTTTTTTAAAAAGCCCCAACTATAATTAATATCCTTTGAGAGAGAAAAAAAAAGATTGCATCCATAAAACAAGAACAAAAAAATATTAAAAAGGAAACAACTGAGAACAAGGAAAAATTCTTGGAAATAAGAAAAAAATCACAGTTGGAAAAAAACCTCAGTAAAAATGTTTTTAAAAATCTCAATAACCTCAGCAAGGTAAGGTACTGCATTTATGAAGCAAAAACAATTCTAGAAAAAAAAGAAACACTCAAATAATATTGAAGAGCTATTGAAAGTTAAAAACATTATCAGAAATTTAAAACTTGATAGAAAAACAAGGAGGGAAAAATGAGTAAATCCCTCAGAATAAAACAAAGAAAATAGGAGAGAAAATATAGCAAAAACTAGAGGACAAGTCCAGGAAAGCCAGTATCGGATTGGTAGGAGTTCCAGAAAGAGGACACAAGGAAAATGGAGGGGAGGAAAGTATCCATAAAATAATCCAATGAAATTTCCAATGGGCCTTTCAAACCTCCAAGTAGCCACTAAAATGTATGAAAATAGACCCTCCCCAAGGCACATCACTGTGATATTTCAAAGGGAAGATTTTCTAAGTTTCCAGAATGTAAAACAAACAAGAAAACCAAACAGGTCATCAAGAATGAGAACGGCTTCAGACTTCTTAACAGCAACAGTGAAAGCCAAAGACCATAAGCAGTGTCTTCAGACTTCCAGAGGAAGATGACTTCCAACGAGAAGCTCTATCCAGGTAAACTATCAATCAAATATCAATCAAATAAAAATATTTTTAGAAAAGCAAGGTTTCAAAAAGTTTACTTCCCATTCTCTTTTCCTTAAAACTTATGGAGGATATATGGTCCTCCAAAATGAACAAGACTAAAAAGAGAAAGATACAATGTGCTAATTTTCCTTTGATAGCCATTCTCCCCTTCTTTCTTTCTTTTTTTTAAGCATTTATTTATTCAAAACAAACAACTTTTTATTGAAGTTTAGTTGATTTATAATGTTGTGTTAGTTTCAGGTATACAGCAAAATCATTCGTTTATATACATATATATGTTCTTTTTCAGATTCTTTTCCATTATAGGTTATTACAAGATACTGAGTATAGTTCCCTCTGCTATACAGTAGGTTCTTGTTGTTTATGTATTTTATGTATAGTAGGGTGTATCTGTTAATCCCAAACTCCTATTTTCTTTCAATGTACACCTCCCTGAGTTTTAGCTGGGCAAGGGGCTTGCCAGCAGGGACACCACTGCCTAGTGTCACCCACAGCTAACTTCTGGGCAATGGGATATGAGCAGAAGTGGTGCACACAACCCCTGGGTTGATTGTGATTTCAGAGAGCAAAGCCACCTGCTTGCTTCTGAACTCTTATGAGAGAAATAAGCTTCTGTCATTATGTTTTTGTTACAGCACTTTAGCTATAACAAATACTTATGGGGTGTGGGAAACAGGAGATCCAACTCAGAATAGAGAGCAATGGAATCCCCAGGATGACAGTGAAGGGTGATCCCAGGAAGAGAGCTGTGCTCTGACGTGGACAGCAAACAGTCCAGATTGGAGCAGTGAAATGCCCCATGTTGAGAGCTCAACTGTTTGTCTTTTTTTTTTTTTTTTTTTAACTTGAGGTGAGAATGCTTAAATGAGCCTGAATCAGATTGTTAACTGAACTTAGTCTGCCTTGTGTTGATGACATTTCTGTTCTCCATGACACAACCTTGGCTAGTTGAGGGGGTATGGGCTTGACACACTGCTATGGACGTGGTGTGCTTGGACCTGTTCCTGAAAGCTGGAGGCTGGCCATGGAAGCCGAAAATGCAGAGCAGCCCATTTCCATTACATATTTCTGGGGGATGCCCAGTACCTGTTCATACAGTAACCTCCCCAGCCATGGGTTGCCCAGTGTTTCCAAAGACTCATTTGGGAATACCCCTCTGGTAAACTCCCAGGGAAACAGAAGCTAATCTATGACTCAGAGCCTCTGTTCAGCTTATCTTCTCCTGGGGCCCTTCATCTGATGGTGAGAATATTGCCCTTTCCTTACACAGCTAGGTTGGTGTTTGCTATTGCTTTTCAAAACTAAAATGTATTGCTGAGGGATATTGTAGGAAGTAAAACTATAAAGGATCAGAATGATTACAACAAAATGAACTAGAGATCATCTCTGTGAAGGGAGGAAGGGGATACATTGGGAGGGGGCACATGGGCCTCTACAGTACTTTTTTTTTTTTTTTTTAATCTTTCGGCATGTGGGATCTTGGACCACCAGGGAAGTCCTGGGCCTCTAAGGTACTTTATCAGTCCTCTGGAAGCACACTGTTATATGGGTGCTTTACTTCTTAACTTTGGAAGCAGATTACATGGGTGTTCATTTAAATAGAACTATGCATTCTATATATTCTTATATGTGTCTAATACATTTTACAGTATTTCTAAATAGCTTAAATACCTATGACACTGATAAATGTGTGGCCAGGACTGGGGTTTGGGAGGGGTCGAGTAGTGTTGTAGCGTTGTTTGACATTTTAAACCACACGCATGTATTGCTTTGATAAAATAGAACCTCTGTGCTAGAAACTGGGCATATGAAGGTTTTTACGTCGAGGCTACTGCCTTTGAGTATTTCTGAATGTGGTGAGAGACCAGTACAGATGATTAACTACAATACAGCCTGATGTTTTAAGATTACAGAAGAAGGAGCAATGACTTTTTTTAGTCAAGAGGCAGTGAGAGGAGAGGGCAGGTCCAGAGGGGAGAGTCTGTAAATCAGGCCTTGAAGGCAGGGTTTGAAAGAAGAACAAAGGATAAGAAAGGGTATCTCAGGAGGAAGGAACACAATGAGCAAGGACATAGAAATGTGAAAGAAAGAGCAGGCAAGCGGTCGGGAGGTGATCAGGGACTGTGCAGTTTGCACACTGCACAGCCTCCAGAGGTGGGGTGCATAAGGGAAGGGAGAGGAAGCATTAGGAGAGAAATAGGAAAATGGAATGTGGTATGAAAAAGACTATTACTGAATCCTAAACATTATTCAATAGGCCAGTGTTGACATATTCAAATTATGAAATTTACAAAATTACACCAACCGTTTATACTCAATGAAGGACAATAGCATGTGCCTGCAGGGGATGAACATGAAAAAACTTTAAATTGGTATATTCTGCAATAATCACATTCCTTAAGGTCTTGAGAACGTAGAAAAGAATTGGACAAAAATCACTGTGTGATCCATGGGTACTTCTTTATTAGAGAAGAAATTAACCATTCATACCAGAGACTACAGAGGGATATTAACTTAATCTTGCAATTCTAGAATAACTTTCACAATAAGGAATTCTTAAGTTTTCATAGAGTGAGGGGGAAAGAAAGGGGAGAGAGAAAATCATTTAGAACAGAGTTTCCCAAATTTGGCTACTTTCACAGACATATTCTTGGAGGTGGGGATACAAGTTTTCTATGTAACATTTAAAATTTTATGTTTTACTCTTTTTTGTTGTTTGCTGTATGCGGGCCTCTCCCTGTTGTGGCCTCTCCCGTTGAGGAGCACAGGCTCCGCACGTGCAGGCTCAGTGGCCTTGGCTCACGGGCCCAGCCGCTCCGCGGCATGTGGGATCTTCCCGGACCAGGGCACGAACCTGTGTCCCCTGCATCGGCAGGCGGACTCAACCACTTGCCACCAGGGAAGCCCTTATGTTTTACTTTTGCTTATAAACAAATTAATACACACTTGTTCAGGATTCCCTGGACAACCATGTTACATAACAGAGTGTTACCACGTGATCGTAGCATCTGCATTTATACCTCTGATCCCTGTGGCCCAAAATGAAGACCAACTGTGCTTAACTTTTCAGTGGCGTCTCTCAGACTGCGTGCTCAGACCCTTCACGGAATTGTTGAATATTTCCTATGAGGTCTATGAGTTGTCACGGTTCAGAAAACTGGTTCACGGCAGTGATTCTCACAGTAGGAGGGCGTAGGAGGTGGGGTGGGGATGGTGGCTAGGGAGATACCCTTTGAAAAAGCATATTCAGAATATCTATTGATTTCATAATGCACATTCTATAAAGTCAAACTCAACAAAATAATCTTTGGACAGTAGCAGAAAACCAACTATAGATTCAACCCAGGAGGTCTGGGATATACTTGGTTGAGAAACACTGGTGTTGAGGTAGAGGAGCCCCAGCATGTGGAGAACACGTAGTAAGGAACATGTGCCAAAGAGAAGGAACATCTTTTGGGTCAGTGAGTGAATCCTAAGCATATCTTGTCTTTTTGGAAACCAAAGGGCCAATCCACAAGAAACCTGAGACACCCATTGAACTTCTCAGACCTGTTGTTTTGGGCAAGTTGGTCCCCTTTTAATACTGAGTCAAAAGAAGAAAAAGCTGTTTTTTGCCCCCAAAATGCCCCCCACCCATTTTATTTGCATTAACATATTTCAAACTTTTAAGTAAACAGTTGCTGTAGCTGGGTAAACGTAGCCCCAGGTCCATCCATAAGGAAGTGCTGTCGTTATCTGCAATGCCATCCAGCTCTCAAGGGGGATATCAGCCTGGGGTCTGCTCTGCTAGGAAAAAATACAAAGAATTGGATTTTCTTGGAAAAGATCAATTCCTCTCATTTCCCTTTCATTACCAGAACATTTACTCTTGCTGTTTAAGCATAATCGGTTACAGATAGCCTTGAGATGCAAGTTGCCAGTAGAATACTGAGAGTATAATATACTGAAGGACAATGCAGATAAAGAGACCTGGGGAATATGGCGGACTCTAGTGCCCATGCCAACATAGAGGTAGCTGGGGAAATGGTGTTTCCCACCTTCCCAGGAAAGTTGTAAGTTTTCTTTCATTCTCATCTAAGCCTAAATTGCTAAAGAGTGTTCCAGAAAAGGAAACATTTGGTACAGCAGTTAATTGGGTTTTGAGTGCTTTGTGCATGGGGTGAGGCCAGAAAGCTAACCCAAACAGACACAGTGTTTATTTGAGGGGATGATGTTGTAGAATTGTGATTAAAAGTTTATAACATTGACTATTTTATTTCAAGGGATTCAGTTGCATTTTTCAGACTTTGTTTTGTCACTTCCTGTTGCTATTCTGAGTAACCACCACAAATTATACATACTCATTGCTCAAGGGTTAATTATTAATTAGTGGGCAATAAATACTCTTCAAAGAACATTTTAATTTGAACCCCTTTCTCCTTTGGCTAAAACAGAGTCTTTCCACGTGTGAGTCAGTGCAATTGGCCTGCTTAGAAGCTAGCTTGCACTAACAAGAGCTGCGGGGAGGGGAGTCCATCAGACCCCAAAGGTATCTTGCTTCCTTTCTGAAGAATTCATCACCCTGTGGTTTTCCATTCAGTCAAAGATCTCCTTTAGGTTACAATTTTAGAAAACTCTGTTTTGTCATTTGGGAAGCCAATTAGATTGAATGGATTTGCAGCGTGAACACAGGTAAAGCAAAACTTACCTTGATTTCACATTGCACTTAGAATAATCTAGGTTGCTTCCCATGGCCTTGTGCTCTGGTCCTTGCCCACATTTGTTACTACTTTTCCTTCTTTCTGCGCTTCACTCAGTCTGATCTGTCTTGCTTTCAGTTCCTTGAATATTCCATACTTGTCACCTCAGGGCCTTTGTACTCGCTATTATTCCTTCTGCCCGAAAAGCCCTTCTGCTTCATCTGTACATGGCCGTCTCCCTGTTGTCAATCAGGTCTCAGCTCAACCAGCCCCTCTGAAAAAGGCCTTCCCTTACTACATTAGCTTAATTTGCTCCCCATCCCCCTGCCATGTTCTATCAAATTATTCATTTGTTTCAGGAATTTACTTGTTTTGGATCGGTCTACCTCTCTAGAATATAAGTTCCATGTTATCTTTTTGTTCATCTCTGTATTCCCAGTGCCTCGTACAGTGTCTGGCACATAGTAAGTGCTAAATAAATATTTGTTAAATGAAGGTTGAGTGAAAAGCTTTCCTCCCATTGATGAAATTAACCCATTTGTAAAATGGGAAACTCATACATGACATCACAGTTCCTCAAATCACCCCTGATCATTCTTTCCCTATCCAGAGTGCCTTCCTAGATTGTAATAAAACGTGGCGGTACAATTCCACCATCTCCCAGTGTTCCTGGCCCGGCGTCCCACCTGTCACTCACCTATAATTATTGTAGAGCTCCAATTTGCTTTAGCCTTGTCAACAGCTCCCCTTTCTCATGCATATTTACTAGATCATTGCATCCACCTATGCACTCTTGACCGATGAAGACCCGAGGTACCTAAAAAAGCAAACAAGCCAGGACATTTAGAGAACATCATTATTAGATTAGACATTTTATCCTTCCTCTAAATATTTCCCATGATCCAAAGCTTTTCAGATCACTTCACAACCTCCTCATGTATACTCTTTCAGAGCGGAACTTTATTATACATATAAAATTATTCATTCAAGAACCTTCTTAAGCTAAGATGCTTTTCAAATAGAATGTTCTGTGTGTGTGAGATTGTCTAACTTGTCAAAGGGATTTAAAAATTTTACTCTGTTTCAGGGAAAGAGTTTTGGTTGGCCGCAGCTGGACCACCCTGATTGAATTCTGGTTTCCCTACAGCTGGGACCACACCTGAGCCCTTAAACTGAGCCATGGCAACCAGGAAGGAGTCTGTCTCTAAGTACAGCTGGAAAAGTATTTGCATCAGTTCTCTGTCTCTGATTTTAGACTCACAGTTTATTAGAGTCGTCTCTCTCATCTGTGAGCTCTGTCCTCAGCTGGGGAAGGGGTGGTAGTGTCTGAATCTCCTTCTCTAATACCTGGCCCATCATAAGATGTTTAAGTGCTGCAGCCCTGGGAGCAAGGACATGCATCTGCTTTGGTTTCACACCTGGCATGGGTGGGTGGCCCAGGGTCAGCCAGGCTGACACAGTCATTCTACCTGCTGAACATGTTCATCTTGAGTCACACTCAGGCTCCCTCCCTGCTGCTAGGTAAGGCGTGTTCCAGGGTTCTAGACGGCTCTTGGAAGGAGGAGAGGAGGAAGTCTTTTCACTGTGGCTCAGGCAAATTCCAGGCCAGGGATGTTACAGAAAGGCTGACTGGCAGTGAAGAAACAACCACAATGCGGGTACCCTGAGTGGTCAGGAGCAAGCAGGTCCTGTCCCAGAACACTAGGAACATACCAGAAGGGGCAGGAGAGGTGAAAGACAGAAGGCGGCAAGAATATTTTCAAAGCTTTCGACTTTCCTCAGAAGGCATAGTAATTCAGATGCATTTTTAAATTGAGGTATAGTTGATGTACAATATAAGTTTCAGGTGTACAACACAGTGATTCACAATTTTTATAAATTATATTCCACTTATTATAAAATATTGGCTATATTCTCTGTGTTATACAACATATTCTTGTCGCTTATTTTATATATAATAGTTTGTACCTCTTAATCTCCTACCCCTGTATTGCCCCTCTTCCCTTCCCTCTCTCCACTGGTAACCACTGATTTGTTCTCTATATCTGTGAGTCTGCTTCTTTTTTGTTGTATTCACTAATTTGTTGTATTTTTTCAGATTCCACATATAAGTGATATCATACAGTATTTGTCTTTCTCTGTCTGAATTATTTCACTTAGCATAATACCCTCTAGGTCCATCCATGTTGTTGCAAATGGCATTATTTCGTTCTTTTTTATGGCTGAGTAATATTCCATTATATATATATATATATATATATATATATACACCCCATCTTCTTTATCCATTCATCTGTTGATGGACACTTAGGTGACTTCCATATCTTGGAAACTGTCAATAATGCTGCTATGAACATTGGGGTGCATGTTCAGATGAAATTTTTTTTTTTTAAGTGTGAGAGTTGAGAAAAAGGGCAGGATTATTTCAGGTAAGTCCTTACCTTATTTTTATTAAGAAGGGGGTCTGAGTGGAAGTAGGCTTTAAAAATTAAGGCCCCCAATTGAAAGACTCCTACACTCCATTGCCATGGCAATTTCCTATGTCCCAAGAGTGGGGAAGAGCACACAGGACTGTGTTCTGGCGAGAAAGCCTGGTAATGTCCACCTCAGTCACAGAAGGTGACGCCTGTCCCACCTGCACTGCACGCCTGTGTGGGGACTTTGCAAATGGACGCGCCACCAAGGCAGCACTGCTTTTTTACTAGCTGAAAGAATATGCAGAAATACGAGGTCAGAAACCTAACTTTCCCCCTGGATCTGGCCATTTTAGGGAAAATAAAACACCTCTCAAATTGCTGGGGGCCTTTTGGCTTCTATCTCCCCAGGAACAGTTGGCTGTGGTCAGTTGCAATGGTAAATAAAACAGAATCCTAATGTAATTCTAATGTAATTCTAATACAGGGATCCTTCTGTTGAAGCCATTACCTAAATGAGTAAAACTCATCTGAGCTTTAAATAAGGACGAGATGTATTCATTCTTGAACTTCTGTCAATTCTGTTATTTTCAGAAAGAATTGAGCAATGGTCACTCCTCTTGCCACTTGCCACATCTCCACCTTTGGCCAGGGTGCTGGCCCAGGGGGTTTGAGTTCAGTTATTTCGAGAGAAGGCCCTGAGGAGTAAGGAGTCTTCTCCTCAGATAGCTGTTCTCAAACTTGAACCCGGCATCAGAACTGCAGAGGGCTTGTTAAAACATAGGTTTCTACTCCTTCCCCACACATTTCTGATACAGGAGATCCAGGCTGGGGCTCAAGAATTTGCATTTTGACAAGTTCCCAGGTGATGCTGACTCTCAGCGGTCACATCTGCAAACCACTGGTTGGCACTGATAGTGGTTCATTCCTCCTGCGGTAACTGAGGCTTTGGGAACACACAGCTCTGCAGCAGCCCCCAGCCACCTGAGGCAGGCCCTGAAACATGATCAGGGCGGACTTCTGTGCAGACCATCTGGCACGCAAGCTGGCTTGCCTGAGAGCTGAAAGGCCCTGTTGCCCTCACACCCACCCTCTAGGCTAGGCAACAGTTGGCTCTGGTCAGTGTGATCAGTTGGCAGCAGGACAGTGTGGGAGGCTGTGGTGACAAAACAGGAAGCTGTTGATGCAGCTGAGGAAGGGAGACTCGTCCTCCGTGCCCTCCCCTCCTGGCCCATCCGCCTCTTCGGAGGAGCTTGAGTCTGTTACTGCCAGGAAGCAGCGAGCTGCCACCATAAAAGCAAGCTTGGGAATTCTGGGGCCCTTCCTCTCCCGGAGCTTTCTCCAGCCCCAGCTTCAGCTAGGTGGCATCTCCTGCACTCTGGTGTTACTCAGAGGCTCCCAACACTCTGCAGCACCTCCTTGGCTACTCCCTGGTACAAGCCACCATCTTTTCTCATCTGAATTACTGCTCTAGCCTCCAGAGGTCTCCCAGCTTCAACCCTCACCCTGGCCTTCCTGTAGTCTCTTTCCCCACAGCCACTGGAGCGACCCTTTCAAAATCAAGTCAGATAGGGTTATTCCTCTGCTCAAAACCCTTCGGTGGCATCTCATCTCCCGTCACAAGCACACTCCGTGTGATAGCTTGAAAGGCCTCGCCAACCTATACCGCGTGATCTGTCGGACCTCATCTCCTCCTGACTCATAATGTTCCACCCATGGAGGCCTCCTTGCCAGGCATACTTCTACCCCAGGACCTTAGCACTTGCTGTTCCCACTGCATGAAATGCCCTACCCCTACATTTGTGCATGCCTTGCTCCTTCACTCCCTTTAGAGATCTGCTAAAATCAGTGAGGCCCTGATGACTCCATTTAAAACCGTACCTTGCTGCCTACAGCCCACCTGCCTTTCCTGCCTGTTTTTTTCTCCATAGCACACATCACTTACCACCTTCCAACATACTATTTTATTAATTGCATTTACTAGAATGTAAGTTCCACAAAGGCAGTCATTTTTGTTTGTTCTGTTCATGGCAGTATTTCCAATGTCCAGAAAAGTGCCTAGTGTAGTAGGTGCTTAAAAATATTTGTTGTATCTAGCAAAATTATCCTTCAAAACCAAAGGAGAAAAAGACTTTCTCAAACAAACAAAAATTGAGGGAATTTGTTGCCCAAAGATCTGCCTCGTAAGGAACATTCAAAGACGTTCTTCAGAGAAAAGGAAAATGATAGAGGTCAGAAACTTGGATTTACATAAAGAAAGAACATCAGGAAAAGGAATAAGTGAATGCACTGATCTAGCAGCTGTGGCTATGGCGAAACCAGAACCAGTTTCTCCAGTACATGGCCTGATAGAAGGCCTACGTCTCTGTAACCAATTAAGTCTTGCTGGGCTCCTACTATTTGCACAGCACACAGGCATCCCAGGATAAGCAAGATAGCGACAGCTCTCAAGGTTTCCAGTCTCTTCTAATAGAAACCCTTCACTGTTCGGGATCATGAAGTATACAACTTCAAAGGGTTTGTTTTTTCCCTTGGAGGAATGTCATTCAGGACTCAAGAACCTGTGAAAAGTATTTTGAAAAATTCAAAAACAAACTTAAAAGACCACTAGAAGAAAAAGTGTTGCTTTACAATGAATTGAAAAAACAGGTGTTGAATGAATGCGTGAAGTGGTTTTTCCTGCTAGAGAATAGGTGCTGCCGGGCTGAAAGATGTAGCTCCCAAACCTGGTTGCAAATTAGAATTACCTTTTTATTTTTTTGACAGGAGATAAACTCTATTTTCACTTCCGGATTTTTTGAGGTATAACTGACAGATAAATACGTGTGTATTTAAGGGGTACAATGTCATGGTCTGATACACATATACTACATTAAGAAATGATTACCGCAATCAAGTTAATTAACATACCCATAACCTCACAGCTACCATTTGCACGTGTGTGTGGTGAGAAAACCTGAGATCTAATCTCGTAGTAAACTGCAAGCATACGATACAGTATTACTAACTATAGTCACCATGCTGGACGTTGCATCCCCAGAACTTATTCATCTTATAACTCAATGTTTGTATCCATGTCCTAGGGATCTTTAAAACTACTGATGCCTAGCTGCCACCTCCCATATTGTGATTTAATTGGCATGCGGTGTGACTTGGGCATTGGGAATTTTTTTTTTTAAAAGCTCTTCAGGTGATTCTAATGAGCAGCAACATTTGGGAACCGCTGGCCCAGAGGGATGCCTCACAGCGGGGTCCACAGCCGTACTTACACTGCCCTTTCCCTCCTTCCAGAGACGAGGGTCCTCAGCTCACAGCAGGGGCCCTGGAAGCAATGGGGGTAGCGTGTTTTGCCTTTTTCTGCACCAGAAGGCTGATTTCTGACTGGAGAGGCGGGAAGAACAGCCTCCCAGGCTTTACACTGAGAAGCCAGAAAGAACACGGTAAGTCAAACTAAACCTGAGCTAGGATATGTGCTTCTGCAAACCCTGTGTCCTAGAATGTGCGCCCTGAAAGGGAGTTTGGGTGATCTGGTGGGACAGAACTTACCACCATGCCCCCGCCCCAGCACCTGAACTGATGCTGGGGATCTGGTCGGCTGGCTATCTCACTGGGAAGCCGTGGGTGCTGAGAAAGAGGAAGGCTGTTCACGTAAAGGACAGCGGTTCTTAGGGTCCCACTGTCTACTTATAGCAAGAAGGGATGTAGTGGTCACCTCCTCCAGTCTGGTGCTGCAGCCAGGAGGTCCCTGAGAGTCACAGAGCTGGTGACTTACCCGGATCACACAGCAAACCATTGTGAGAGCCATCCGGAGCTCTGGCCTCTGGACTCCCTAACAGGCCTGGAAACATCCCATAATTTAGATTAAGGAGCAATAATGAGCCGTTAGATTTTTCCAGAGGGAGGAGTTAGATAAGATAGGGAAGAATGAGCGATTTAGATGAAGGTTAAAGAGAGCCTAGAGAAAAGATGGAAGGACAGCAAATCCCACTTGGCCCTGTGAATGCAAAGAGTGCACGCGATTCTTGCACCGATCACACATGGCCCCTGCATCCCTCCTTCCACCCCAGCCCTGCAAGCGCAGACTGTCAGTGCTTAAAACAAAGAGTCCAGATAGTTCCTCAGTGACTCCTGGGCAGCTGCTGGGCCCGCTGCCCCTGGCGCCCAACACAGTCAGCTGTGCTCCCTCCTCTGATCTGAGCACCGTTGGCCGAAGTCCAGCCGTCCATTCAAGGAAGCAGTGTCCTCTCTCAGGCGCCCTCCCCCACCTGCACAGCCCTCCAGCCGCCTGGAGTGACAGAACCTTAGCGGTGTCCTAGAGAAAGGCACAGGCGTACCACGTTCACAGCCCCGACAAGAAAAAGGAATCTGGGAGCCTCCTCCCCAGCCTTTTAGAAGGAAACCCCAGGCTCACCGTTCTGGCTCCGGTGAGCTGTTGCAAATAATCTTGAATCTCGTTGGTGTCACTGCGGGCTGTGATATCGACAAATTCCAAAAGCCCTTGTTTGAAGGGCAAGTGGCTGAGGAGCTCCTGGGCCCTACTGCTGTAGGGGCAGGTGGGCTTGATGAACACAACTACCTTCCCAGGCTGGATTTTGCTGTTCACAAATGCTTGAGCCATGCTCACAGGCTGCTATCTCCTGGGGAGGAAACCTCGATTGCAGGTATCGCTGGGGAGAAAAGCGGGGCCCTGGCCAGCTGGCTCTTATTTAAAGGAACCTCCCTGGAGGAGGAGTTTGCCCGGTAGCGCGCTCGATTTTTAAAGGGCCAGTCCTGAAGTCATTTCAGTCTGGAGTGATTCAGCAGCTAGAGCTTCGGAGGAACGCCCGCTGGTGTGTCCAGTAGCTATGTCCAGGGTGTCATTGTCCTCAGCCCTTTCGGGAGCGCCTGCTCTTGGGAAGGGAACAGAGTCTTGTCACTCTCTGGGGAAGCAGAAAGTGTGCAGCCCAGCCCCAGGGAGGGGGCGGAGAAGGCAGAGTCAAACCTTTGTTGTCTCAGACACAGTTTCTAAAAACACATGCAAACAGAATCATTCAAGAAACAGAATGCGCTGAAATCTCTTTAGAAGGAGTGAAATTCAGATGGTGACTTTGTGTGCCGTCTTGCTTGGCCTGCACTGTTTGTCGTGGTCACTGTTCAGTGGAATTAGTTCCCCACTTTTAAACATCTGGAGATTTCACAAAAGAATCTGGACCCGCGACCTCTCTCTGAAAAGTCAGGTCGTCTTCATTTGTGGCAGCAGCTGGGGCTGAGGAGTTGTTGTTCTTTGGGTAGGGCAGACAGCGGCTCAGGTATGCCACTGCCTGCCCCCCGCCGGGCTGGCTCACGCCTTCCAGACACCTGCTGTGCGTCCCTAAGCATTTGAGTTTGTGACCCTTGAACTGCACTTTAGCATGGAAGTGAATTGCAACACAAACCCAAATTTCAAACTGCAGGTCCAATGAAGGTCTTTTTCTCTGTTTGACCCTTTGTGTGTGACCCTTGGTTTTCACTGTTGTGAGTCTAAGGGGTGTAATAACCCACTTCTCACATTCACCTGAGTGTGGTAAGACGCTTAGGACCTGATGCTCTTCCCTGTGGTGCCCATGCTCCCAAGTGGGGTGAGCGAAGTCTTTTATTCTAGGGCCAGTTCTGACCCCTCCATGTGCAGTAAGTTAAATAAACAAAGCAAGGAAAAAAGGAAAACCACCTCCTTGAAAAGGGAACTATCCTTTTCCCCAGGAGGTTTTCCACTGAAACTAGGGCCCAGGCTGGAGCTGCACACCTTCACTGATTGTCACGTCAGAATCCTAAGCATAGCATGATTGAGAGAAGGGAAGAAAATTGACTCCCGGAAGCAGCTCTAATTATTACTAAAATTAAATGGCAAAGCAAGAATCCCAGATTCTGAGTCACAGAGAGGCACTAAGATACGAGATCTCTGGCACCAGAAAGAATGTGCTGGGGCGGGAGGCCTGAGGTGACGGGTCCACTCAGTCTTGGGACTTGCAGCTTCATTTTCTCCCGAATAAGCTCCTGGCAGAGTCCTTGTCGTCTCTCTTCGTTTCGTCCTTTCGCTCGGACTCCTGTGGCCGGGCCCCTCGCTGAATCCCGGGGCCTCCTCAGGGCCGCCTTCTTCTCTCCCGCGCAAGGGTCCGCAGCACGCCTCGCGCCGGGCACTTCCCTCCGAACCGCTTTCTTCTCAGCGTCTGGGCGTAGCCTCTCCCGCTCTGCTGGCTCTTTTTCCTCAGCATGTGACTCTGGTCAAGTCTCTGCCTTGTTACAAACCACCACCACCACCTTCCATCTCCTTGACCCTGCTTTCCTGCCCTTCCCGAAAAGCCAGGTCTCATAGGACTTGCTGTTATGTTTGCCATCTGAACTTGACCCACCTCCCATCCTCTCCTCACCTCAGTGCAGTCTGACCTCCTTCTCAACCGTTCTGCTGAAACTCCTTTGGCCAACGTCAATCATGACCACCACGTTGCTAAATCACCTTGCAGCCAGGTGTCCTGCCTGAGACTAACCCAGAAGTGTGGGTGTGGAGTTTCTGATAAACTGGTGGAGTGAAACTCCCAAAGGATCTGTTTGCATAGGGTCCCTGGAGGGTTGGGTACCTGGGGCAGAGATCAGGGTGCAGGAGGAGAGGGCTTCTGTTGTCTGCCCTACAGCTGAGGCCCAGGGACTGGTGTCTGAAGCCTTAGGACAGATGGCCACGGGACACAGCTGAAGAAGGCCTTTTCATGAGACTTGGAACAAAAACAGATGGCAAAGAGGGGGAGTCTTCTCCACTTTTCAGAAAATGCCGTGGCTTCACTTCAGTGGAGAATTCAAAGCATAGAATACTCTGTTGCGTTAACATCATGAAAGTTTATAGCTTTGGCACATCAGGAGATGGAACCCATGGATCTCGGGGGTATTTCAGGGTGGGCAGCCACCATGGGGGCTGCCGTCCTGGAGTGCTGTGGACATCAAGAGGGGGTGTGTGTGGAAGAGACATGAGGACTCTTCTTGGGCTTGTGCACCCCCCAGGCACTCCCAGAAATACTGGGAAGCAAGGACGTTTTTCAAGGCAGTGGAGGTCCCGCTCTGCAAATAGTTGGCAACAAGCTAGTGATCCATGTGAAATGTGAAATACGGGCTATTACTATTAATGCGATCTCATTTGTACCGCAGGCTGTTGAGGGCTGGGACAATCTGGCCACAAATGAGCATTTTTCAGGCTCTTTTGCTCACTTGCCCGCTTTGCAGGATTTGACCCCATAGATCACTGTCTCTCCATTTCCCCTCCTCCCCCCAGCTCTCTTGTTCCCAATGTCCTTTGCAGCTTGATCTCTTTCTCCTTCCTGTGTCTCTGGGTATTCTGTCTCAGCCTCTTCCTCAGTTTTGCCTGCACATGGGGTATATCCTGGGGCTTGGTCCTCTTCTCACTCTGTGTACACCCTCCTTGAAAGATTTTGTCTGCACACGTGGCTCCAGAAAGGTGGCTATCATCTTTTTGTTGATGAGCTCCACATTTATTTTTCTCATCCAGAACTCTTTCCTAAGCCTCAGGAATTGATAGTTCATTGCCTACTGAGAAGACCCACTTGGGGTTCCTCAGGCATCTCAGCCTCTGCGTGACCAAAATGGAAGGCAACCTCCTGTCTCTTCCATCCCTGCTTATCCTCCCGGGAGTACTGTCGTCTATCCATCAGCCAGGGCAGGAACCTGGGAGGCATCTTGACTGCTGCTTCTTCCCCTGCTCCCTGCTTTTTATTTATGCAGAGTGACCAACCTCTAACAATTTTGCCTCCTAAGTAGCTCCCCAGTCTGATGGCCCCTGCCTTGGGCCAGCCCTCATCAGTTCTTTGCCGGATCTTGTTAGAATCTCCACCTTGACCTCATTGCCTGGCCTGACACGGCTGCTGGGATGATCTTTATGTATGTACATCCTGTCACGTTCTCTCTTTTTCTTAGGAAACTTCCATTTTTCTCCAGGATAAACTCCAGATTCCCTAGTGGGAATATGGCCCTGTGTGATTGGTCCTCCCTGCCTTAGCCATGTCACTGCCTTTGCCCCACATTTCTCCTTTATCCCACAGCTATCTCGAGTCTGAGCCTTTGCACCTGCTCCCCTCTCTGTCCATGGTGCCCCAGCCCCCATTTCTGTGTGGCGGACTCCTGCTGGTCCAACACGACCCAGATCATAGCTTGACTCCTCTAGGAAGTACCCCTGAACACAGATCTCTTTTCCCTGCTGGGTTGGGTGCCCCTCAGCTGAGCTCACATAACATGCTGTACCCTGACTCATGCCATTTCATTGTTCTTTTTTACTCTTTTTCTGTCGTCTACAGTGAGCTCCCTGAGGGCAGGGAAAGAGCTTTTATCCCTGTATTACCAGAGGCCAGATGCACACTGGTCCTTATCCATCCACCCATGCATCCACCCTACAAACATGAATCAGCGCCTCTGGGCCAGACACAAAGATCACATGCAGCCCCAGCCCTTAGGACTTTATAGTCTAGGGGAGACAATACAGACATGGAAAATGAACCCAGTGTTATAAAGTATTCTAGGTAGTATAATAGAAGTATGTGTGGGAATGAGGGTGACCAAAAGAGACTGGTCATTCCCGCCTGGAGGGTGCTTAGGAAAAGGTAGACAAAGATGAGCTAGGCTGAATCTTGAGAGAGGAGATGTTTTGGAGTCTACAAGGTAGGGAAGTGCACTTCAGGCAGAGGGAACAGGAAGTGCAAGAACGACATAGAGGGCACTTGGTGTTATGTGTAGTCACGTGTGAATAGAGCATTAAGGGTTCGAGGTGGGGAGAGAGGAGAGAGACAGCTGGAGAGCAGGCGGATCATGGGTGTCTTTTACCAAACTGAAGACTAAGGACTTTACATATAGGCAGTGAGGGGCAGTAATAGATATATTCTAGGCACGAGTAGATTTGCAGTTCAATGTTTGATGAATTCAGCATATTGTGACATCTTCCATTTAGCACAGTGAGTGGCCAAATGCAATTTGACCACAGAAGGAGTGGTAGGGATGCTTTGAAGCAGGTAAGCATTTAGGGTCCTTCAAGGCTCACCCTGGGACTGGTCCTGGCTTCCACAAGGCTTGGAGTGTGCAGAAGGGCAGCTCAGTGGGTGATGGGCTGCCGGTGCTCTGAGCTGCCCTCAAGACCTCTAGACTCATCATGGCTGCCCTTGGCCCTGTCTACGTGCACCTGCAGGAGTTCAGGTGAATGAACCACGTTGCCAGCAACCCTTTCCAGCCTCAGACACATGAAGATTCTGGTGTGTGGCTGTGCCCGTTTTCAGAGTCTATCTTGTTTGATGCTCTCTCTCTGGATCTCTCTAGATTTGACCACAGAGCACCAATCTGACTCTCACTGTAGACTCTAACTCCAATTTGACCTCAGGAGACACTGATGCTGACTCTAACTGTGGTCCCTCACCTTCTACCGCTGAGGGCGGCTGCTCGGTGCTGAACTCAGAAATACTACAGCTCCCATTTACTACGGACCTATTGTGTGCCAGGCTCAGTGCTAGGAGCTTTACATACATCATCTCTAATCCTCACAGCGACTTTGAAAGGTAGATACTTTGGATCCCAAACTGACTAGAGGAATAAGGAGAGGGTCCCTGACTTGAAGGACTTGAAGTTCAACCAAGGTCAGGAGTAGAGGCTGCTTTCCAATAGGCTCCACCATATACTTGGGAAGTCTCTCC